TAGAGTAACATTAAACTTCATAGAATTAAATAATCATTCCATAATAAAATTACATTTCGAAATGCAAATTTGCACTCAATTTTAAAAATTAACATTCAACTTCAAAATTTTCCGTCTTATTTGAAAACTTTCATTCCAATAATGGGGTATCCTTTGTTGTTTGAACTGCATGCTAGAGATGAAATTAAATTCTGAATGAGTCTATGAAATATTTGACTTCAACCATCATTCTATTATAAGGAGTTATAGTCATAAATAGGTTAATCGAAACTTAATTAGAAGATATTTGTTATAGTATAATAAAAATTTAATTAGGATATTTCATAAACTTCTTCAGACTTTCGTTTCATCGTCAATAAATAAATGTAGTTGGTCAATTTTTTTTCGGGAACTTGTCAAAGTGAAAATAAAATTTTAGAGTTATAAAAAATTTTGGAATTACAATTTTTACATATGAAGGAATTTCTTTGTTCTCGTTGTCATCATCACCATCACTATTTTTTCCTACTGCTATCGCTATGTAATTTTTTCTCTGCTTCCATACCTTTATGAATGAGGGAATTTTCTCCCAAGGAGCATGGAAAAGTGTCAAAGTCTTAGCCTATTAGCATGGCGATGTGCCGAGATAAGTAAGTAAAGTTGGTTTGCTGCAGTAAGTCAACGTAAAACCTGCAACCCAAAGTCGAACCAAAGTGACCTCACTATACCGGTTACTTGATTTCAGTCAGACGCAACAACGACCTTACTTTGAGTGGCAATCTGGGGAAGGCAGAACTTATGTCGTACTTACATGAACTCTTTACTAAATGTATCTTTTAGCGTGCTCTCAAATTTGAGGGTTCCTTATGGATCTAGTTTTTTTTTCTATTTTTTTTAATGCCTTGGAAATTTGATTTCACATGGGTCCAATGCCCAAGACTTATATCAATTAAGTAGCCAATTGCTTAGGAGTTTCAGATGTCATCTGACCTCATACGTGCTTCCCAAGTTGAGCATTGCATATGAAGAAAATTAAATTCGCCAGTTACAACGCTCTACAAAATTCTATACAGCTTATGAAATCACCCCAAGCCCCATAATCTATTTCCTATGAAAACTCTGATATGACATGAAAACCTTGAACATGCCTCACTACTACAGAATATCCAATCCACTCCTTACAACACTTCACAAAGTTTCGCTAAGAAACCTATAGAATCACTGAACAAAATGAAAGAAACCTCCTCAATGTGACAAACCCAAATCAAAGCGACAACAAAAACAAAATAAGGAATTCCAAGGAGTATTCATAGCTGAAAACCCGCACTATCAACTAAAAACCTACTTCACCGTCCAACACAACAACAACACAAAAAAACTTCATAGTCAGGTAAAGCATCCAACCCTGAAGGATAACCCCGTAACTATTGCGACAACGATTCAACCTAACTGCAAATTACTATACCTTGGTATTGCAAATAGAAACGACACACAAAACATTGAAAGATAACTATTTATCCGACGAGCATAATTGATCACAGCGACAAGGAACATCCACCCTCTTTCCATATAGGGAGCAAACCCTCACAGCAAGTCTCGTCGAAACTACTTTCCTCTCAATTTGCAGATAACCGAATAGATGTCCACACTAATTTCAAATGAAGAGTGAGCTTGCAAATTGACTAAATAGTCTGAGAGCAATGTAGACAGTGAGACAAATAAAACGATCACCATTCTCAAGATAGTTAGAAAAACAAAATAATCGGCCACTAAACAAGGAACCCTGAGCAAAGCCGGCGAGAGTCACATAAGCTAAGAGATCCACACGACAAAGTTTCAACCACGAACACGGCGAAGCACAACCGTCGAAGATAACAACAAAACAACAAAATAAACCAGACAAGAGAGGTTGCTACCTACAACAGCAATCGTGTCAAGCTCAACAACAATGCCATGAATGGTTCAACTAATGGTCGCGTTCGTCTACAATATCGAGCATATCAACAGAAAATGTAAAAAAATACTTCGTGTATAGATTCCACATTTGAGGCCAGACGCACAAGACGTGCCCTGATCATAGCTCCAAATAGGGTATGAAGGAGGGTCATGAAAAACCTTTAAGCACCACGAAATTCAGCACCCACACACAACCTTATGAGAGCGGACATCACCGAACCGGCACAGTGTCCAAACACCACTCCCACAGTGTTACCCGGTAGTGTGAGTGTACCCTCATATGAACACGGTCGCTGTCGACCACCAGGGACAGGCCGGGTATGGCAGTCTCAGTGTAGGGCAATTGCCCTCGCCCTGGTCCTTGACAGCTTCAGGCGTTAGCACTACCAGCAGGCCAGTTGGCGCGAGGCTGCCCCTTTTTTTTTTTTTTTTTTTTTTTTGGAAAACTCAAATACCATTCGTATTAAAAACAAAGCGAACCGAGGTCGGGGACCTCACAATTCAACCCGAAATTATCCTGGCAGCATTAGCCAGTTTCGCTTATAAGTATGGCAGAACCGGAACCGAAATTTAATACCAATAACAAACAATCTCTCTCCTTTTTGGTTACCCAATTTCACTTACGGCCCAATAGAACTCGTGAATCGGTCAAGAACTACTTCTAATCTATAAGGTAAATCCTGCCCAACTAACTCAACCTATCGAATTCACCAGAGTTTCCCCAGCAGGCTCTGGGTTTCCAATCAAGCCAACGACTGGACCGAAATCAACCAAGTAAACAAATTCAAGCCCTGAGATAAGTTCGTCGCCTTGGACTCTTCCCTTTCCTACAAGCAAGCGGTGTGTGCTAAAGGGCACACTATAACCAGAAATAGAGGGGAGCGGGAATCTGGCCTATAAAACCCGTCAGATGCGAAATGTAAGAAATGTAGTAATTTAGTAACCCACTTTCAACTTCTAGCTCCTAGGAGAATCATGCTGAAATCCAAATAAGAATAGGTTTGGATTTAGCTTACCAAGTCGGCCACCTGCAGAGAACCCGAGCTACGGAATACACTTCTACGCTCACACACCAAGGGCACCGATATTCCCGACGTTATAATTGCCACTAAGAGGAGGGAGGTGTTGTTATTGCTTACAAACCAAGTACTAAAACTATATCAAACGAAATTTCACTGACAATTGAAACTTATGAAGGCAGACAAGGAAACTACTGAAAACACCCAAGAATAAGACCAAGGATAGAGTAACTCGAAAGTCGTGGAGAAGAAAATGGAATGTAATTTTGAATTTGAGGTAAATAAAGGCCAAGATAAGAGTAGTCGATGTAACTAAAGTATGAGTGTCTCCATGTATAGTGGTGCGGTTTCACCCAGATGACCAAACAGCCAGTGCCCGTCGCCCTACAAGTCCTGTCTTCACGCTCCCGGTTGAGTAGTCACTAGTACTCTGTACATGCTCCTCAGAACAACAGTCCCACCGCTGCAAGTTGCCGTTCCCCTGCTCCTGGAAGTGCCGCTGTCTGACTCAACGTTCGCCAAACACTAGAGCCTCTCTTCCTTCTTTGTGCAGTTTGCAATGTATTTATCCCATAAATGGGCATAATACCGAAGTAGATAACACTTGAATTCTGGAGGTTGAAGGTCGTAGGAGGGACGGGAACCACCCTGCTCCCTGATATTCCACAAATAGACGCAGCCCTTTATCAAGGCTGAGGGTGGTGGCCGAACCTAGAGAGTACCGAGTACTCCATAGCTCCGGCCCCACACCCCGAATCCCGCGCCGTGCTGCCGATGCAGAGCGCCGCCGTCTCCGAACGGCGATACCATCGGTAGCACAGCGCTGTCCCCCTCCGCGCTCCTTTCGAAATTTTCCAAGTATTATCATGTACATTTGTCATGAAGTAAGCCACTCAAGGAGAATGGCTGGGTTAATGTACTCTGAATATTTCGTGTAAGAGGATGTCTTGGTTAGTGCTCAGCGCCCTTGATCCCAACGGAGATGCTCCCACTACCACCAAAGGAACTCCCACTCCCATTGGTGGCACCGCTACCCGTCGAGCTTCGGGTCTTTCACGCTCCCAGTCGAGATAGTCAACAGTAGTTCTCATGTGCTCCTCCCAACACCAGTCCCACCACCACCAGCTGCCCACCCACTGCCTCCAGAGGTGCCACTGTTGGATGTGCCCGCTGTCTCGTACTAGACTCTCTCTCCCTTCGTCGTGTTCACACTGCCATGAGTTTCGTTACTTGAATCTTCTAGATTCTGTTGTAGGAGGAACCAGAATCGCCCTGCTCCCTGGTATTCCACAGGGAGACACCGCCCCTTGTCGGAGTGAGGGTGATGGCTGAACCTAGAAATCGACGAAGAAGACATCGGTCCGCCCCACACCTCGCTGTGGACGCAGAGCGCTGCCGTCTCCGGACAGCGAGTACGGCTGGTAGCGCAGGAGACGGCAGCGAGTACGCCTGGTAGCGCAGCCCTTCATCGGAGCGCTACCGGTCTCCTCAAGCCCGCCCCGGATTTCGACCTGGCCCTTTGGTGCTTTCCTTCTCCCCTTACCCATCCCCCCCCCCCCCTTCTCCTTCGGTGATTTCCTTTACCATCATGCAAAACTGTGATATTCCGGGATGCAAATCTAACCTTGCAGCCATCCGTTACCGCGCGGATGGTGCCGGAAGCCAGTGCTCTTGCTGACAGGCCACTTTTTACAAGGAAAAGATCTCATTATCTTCATCTCCCCTATATATTTATTCTCTGGAATCAAGCATATACTCTCGGTCAGCACTTCACATCGGTATTTCCCCGGTGTTGAGCATCTTGGCGTTTTGCGCGCCTTCCGTTCTCACCCGAAAATTTCGCCTCGGGCGTGCTGCTGCAAGTTGGCTGGCTGGCGCGCCCTCTGGCCTGCAAATGTTTTGGCAAATCATTTGGGCGCCACCCGGCAGTCGATTCGATTGGCGCATGGCCGAGCAGTCGACGGGCGCATTCATCTCGCGACGACAGACAAAGCTACTGCTACCGCTACCGCTACCGCTACCGCTGGATTACTTATTCGGCGACAGCCTGTGACCAGTGTGAGTATCGAGTGTGACCAGTCAGCCGCGGACGTCACATAAGCTGCGCGAAAATGGCCGCCCCCACCCCGAGCGGAAGCCCGACCCCGAATCCCGCGCCTGTCACTACTATTAAGGCCCCGCCTTCTACGTCAGCCACCGCTCCGTCTGCTTCGGCTTCGCGCGCGGCTCAACAGCTTCCCGCCAAGCAGACAAGATGGTCGTCGTTCCTTTACAGTGGCAGCCGCAAACACGTGGCCCTAGGCTTGTTCGTCATCGGAGGAGTGGCTGCCCTTCCGTGGGCGCTTCAGAGAAGGGGTGAGTGGTTCAAACCTTCTCTCTCTCCCTGTTTTTTTTTTTCTGTTTTCCTTTTTCCGTATTCCCCCCCCCTTCTCTTCCTCTGAAACCTTGTTCCCTCTGAAACCTTGTTCCCACTGAAACCTTGTTTCATCAGCCATGTGGCCAGGTTTGGGACACAGTGTAATCGAGGGCGACAGAACACCTTTGCTGCGGGATGGATTCGATGGCAGGATTTTTTTTTTTTTTTTTTTTTTTTTTTTTGGGTGTGTTGAAGGAAGAGGAGGGGGGTGTTTGACAGAATTGCTGCAACTGGAACGATCGTCTCGCTGATTTCTATCTCCGGTTCGGGACGGGCGATTGCTGCTCGACGTGGGACCACAGCGGAGGTTCATGAATGGAGGTCGGAGGGAGAAACAGGCGGAAGTGTGGAGGAAGAAGAGGAGAAGGAGAGCACGAGGGGAATTGAGGGGTGGGGGTGGGTGGGTGATGGGAGACTATCCGTTTTGGAACTACGTTCATTTCCTCGGATTGACTCTTTTGTATATGAAAGATAAAAAGAAAATGGGCTCTGATGACACGGACATTGTAGAAGACACTTTTCTGTAAAGGAAGAGGAGAGGGAGGGGGGATTGTCGTCGTATTGCATGCTCCTTGCTATCTAGTTTTCTGGTTGTTCCCAATCACAGGTAGACATGTGCACACACCCACAGACACACACCCACACCCACACCCACAACCACACACACAGAGAGAGAGAGAGAGAGAGAGAGAGAGAGAGAGAGAGAGAGAGAGAGAGAGAGAGAGAGAGAGAGAGAGAGAGAGAGAGTACTGCAAGTAGATTATTTAATCTCCGATCGGTGTGACCGCGAATCATCGAAATTAGTTTCGGAAATTATTTGCCTCGATTTTCTGTCGCCGCAGCTATCAACCTATTGATAGCCGTCGATGTCTTTGCTTTTGTGATGCTCTGTATTAGCCTGTAGAACTCTTCTCACATCTGTTGATTATGACGATGTGGATGGACATGGATTTATTTTTATTTTTTTGCTGATCGTAATCACAATGAATGTGTACTCGGTCACTCCTGTGCTGAATATTTCAATGATGATGCCAATGCCGATGGATGATGATGGTCGACGGTGAGGATTAGGGATGATGGAGACGATGATGATGATGATGATGATGACGATGATGATGATGATGATGATGGGGGCGGTGACGGTGATGTGCTTTGGCTTTCTATCAGTTGCAGATGGGTAAGGGCTGGTTGATCTTCGTTTCAAACGTTATTAGGTGTGGATTAGATGGGTATGGATGGGTATGTGGGATAATTGATGGGTATGGATATGGGTATGGGGGGTAATTTATGGGTATGAGATGGGTATGGATGACTCTGGCCGGTAGTTAACAGTCATGAATGGGATGGGTGTGAGATGAGTAGGGATCGGAATTGCCGAAGATTGTCTGGTATGGATACGAGAGGTATGAGAGTGGTGTATGGGTGGGTACGAATGGGTATGGGGTATAATTAAGGGAGTATGCTTAAGGGGGTATGCTTCGGCCATGTGCGTTAATCAGAACCAGACAACGACGATAGGTCGGGTTATGATTATGAGGATGAGGACGGAAGGGGGTATGCTTCGCCCTTGTGCGTTAATCAGAACCAGACAACGACCGTAGGTCGGGTTATGCGGGTATGCTTCGCCCGTGTGCGTTAATCAGAACCAGACAACGACCATAGGTCGGGTTATGATTATGAGGATGAGGACGAAATTATGAGGATGAGGATGGAATGATGATTATGATTATGAGGATGAGGGTGCAATGATGATTATGATTATGATTATGAGGATGAAATGATGATTATGATTATGATTATGAGGACGAAATGATGATTATGATTATGAGGACGAAGTGATGATTATGATTACGAGGATGAGGGCGAACTGATGATTACGATTACGATTACGATTATGAGGATGAGGATGATGAGGGACGAAATGATGAGGATGGGGCAATGATTGTAAAGATGAGGGATGTTGATAAGATGGATATAAATGGGTACGGGGGGGTATAGATGGGTACGCACGCATGTAATTAATGGAATTGGTAAGGACGAAGTCATGATTACGAGAATGAGTGAGGAGAGGGCGATGATTGTGAACATGAACCGTAATATAATCACTTGTGGTAGAAATGGGAGATAGCAGTGGTGGATCGGGATCGGAACCGAAGAAGAGGGAGGGGCCAACCAATGGGGGCCTGTAGCTCAGTTGCTACAACCATGAACTGTTGAAAGACAGACTGGAGTTCGAATCCAGAACGAACTCGTTGGATGAAATCAAATACTGTAATTCTGAATTACCTGTGATGCGGCTCAGTACAAGGATAACTGAAGGCCGTCGCCCTTCTTATATATCATCACATGAATATGAGAGCGCAAAAGCGAAAAAAAGAAGAAAAAAGAATGAATTCGTTTTTTTATATCTTCTTCCTTACAACTCCCCCTGTTCAGAACCTCTTGCGTACAAGGCCGCCCACGTGGATGTAGGTTGAGCGGCGGCTGCCCCCACCCCCGTGCATATGAAAGTCGGCGGAAACAGGTTGTCACAGCCCCTCGTTTGTTGTCCTCTTCTCCCTCCCTCTCTGCCTACGGTTTACCTTTGGGCAGCTCTGTTTGACGATATACGTGGCCGGCCTTGTACGTAAGAGGTGATGAACAGGCGGAGCTTTCCTTCCGTACTCCTTTCCTTTCTTGGTCTGTCTTTTTTCGCCTTTGCGCTCCGATAGACGGTGAGGTGTGACGATATATATCACAGTATATAAAGAAAAGAAAAGAAACTGCTGCCACAGGGTGCCCCTGTGGTTTTAGGCCTGACCTGTTTCTTCTCTGAGGGCCTCCATCTAGCCGTGGAGGGGAAAAGAAAAGAACAGAGAAGAAAAAAAGAGGGGCCACTAGTGAAAAATTCCCCCCAGTTGCCAGCTCGTGTAATTCCTCACCACGGCTAGATGGAGGCCCTCAGAGAAGAAACAGGTCAGACCTAAAACCACAGGGGCACCCTGTGGCAGCAGCAGTTCAACCCCCCCCCCCCCCCCCTTCAGAAAAAAAAAGAAAAAAAACAAGAAAGGAACCTCAAATAAGGGGTAGTTGGCTGGGGCCAGGGAGGGTTGGACTCCCTGATGCGGCTCAGTACAAGGATAACTGAAGGTTTTTTTTTTTTTTTTTTTTTTTTTTTTTTTTTTGGATGGGTTTTATATTTGTGATATGGGAGGAGGAGGGGACTGCTGCTTTGTTTCATCCCATCCGTATCTGTTAAACTTTGCCAGGAGCCATATGTCATTCGATGTTCGGCAAGTCCATGGGGTGACCAACGGGCCTACCTTCCCGAATACAACATACGGTCACTAAAGCTGTATTTGGTGTATCTTTCAGTCTAAATACAACTTCAATGACCATATACGTTGTATTTGGGGGAAGAAGGGTAGCTCTCAGTTGGTACATCCATGTACTGTTGTAATATTTACAGACCTGAGTTCGAATTCCGACGGGACGAGATGAATGAAAATAAATAAACAATTTTCTGAATGACCTGGGGCTGACCTCTTTCAAAAAAGCCTCCACGTACCCAAGAGCCTAGCTCAGTGGGGACCACACCCATGAACTGTTGAAAATACAGACCCGTGTTCGAAACCAGATGATGGAACGTGACGAGTAAAGTTGTAAAACCAAGTATTTCTGAATAGCTTGGGACCGGTCAGCTTAATGATGATATCTCAAGGCCGTTGCGTTTTTTTTTTTTTTTTTTTTTTTTTTTTAAGAAAAGAAAGCCTCCACGCAGTGCGTGATGCAGATCAGGGTCGAAGTGAGAACCACTCAATGAGCCTCACCCCACTACTAACCAATTGTGCTGCAAAATGAGAATGAATCTTCGCCTAGAACGTGGAAAGATACACGGCCGTATTTTTTTGTCCTTCGTGCATGTCGTGTTTTTTAGTGGAGCGAGGCCCAATCTCAAGCTGCAAGCTGAAGCGTGGAGTGTGGAAAAATGATTGAAAAATCTTAACCGCAGCTGGTTTCGAGGGGGAACAGCGATATGGGGGGAGATTCAGAAGAATTTAATTGAATTGATACTGACATACATGTATGTATGTATGTATGTATGTATGTATGTATGTATACATATGTATGCATATGTATAATATGTATGTATACATACATACATACATACATATGTATGTATATATGTATGTATGTATGTACGTATGGTTGGCAACATCCTGACCAGGTGAAGAAAACAACTGAAATTCGCGATCTCACCGGAAAGTGCAAAGACTTGTCGAACGCTGGCCTGATGTCTTCAGAGATTGAATACAGTTATTTTACTTCTTTTTCAAATGTTCTTTTCTTTAAAAAAATCAGAGCAACAAGTGAAGAAACGCCTGACGATGTGAAAAAAAAGGACTGATTTTTTTTTTTTTTTTTCTCATCCAACCGAGCTTAATTTTGCACAAGCTGGGAACCGAGCCCCGCGTCCCTCACAATAGTCCGAGCGGCGCCCGAGATGAACGCGGCATTACCGACGCAGTCCATCATGGTGACGGGTCACTATCTATCAAGGGAGAAAGCCTGGGATAAGCCTGGGATAAGCTGAGAAGGGCAGAAAGAGACGACACCACGGAGCATGGTTGATCTAAAAAAAAAAAAAAAAAAAAAAAAGCTGAAAAAGGCAGAAAGAGACGACTTCACGGAGCATGGTTGATCTGGAAAAAAAAAAAAAAAAAGACTGAAATCCGGGATCGCCCAGAAGTGCAAAAAAAAGTTGTCGACCGCTGGAACGCGGGTCCAGGAATGCTGGTCTGATTCCCTTCAGAGATTTAGGGTTTAGTTAGTGTACTCAGCCCAAGTGTGGTAGTACCTGTTCTGATCAGTATAATATCTTATCTTCGGTACATTGGAAAAAGAAATATAAGAGAAAACTACGGCGACGTCAGGGTTTGAGTTAAAAAATGCAGTTGAA